AGGCTGCTAGCTTGCACATTGTGTAAAGTTGTTAAAATGGATAAATAGTTGTCATTCAATTAAGTATTAATTGGTAGAAAAAAATTACATCACTCATTCTATCAATTTTTAGGTGCTTGAACAAAGATTTAGAAAGTTGCCACGTCAGGAGACGGACAAAAAGGAGCCGTTTTCAGAATGCTCTAAAACCAAGGCCTTGAATGAGTTTATTTATTTTTTTTCAACTTTATTTATAAAGCCCTTTAAAAAAAACAAAGCAGCCAAAAAGTGCTGCACATACCAGGTAAAGTTAAAATTGTATAAAAACAACATAGAAGTTTAAAGGAATAAAACAAAAATAATAAAAATAAATTCGTTAAATCAAATAAAACCAAATAAAAAACAACAGAGTAGAGTCAACACTGGCCCAATCAACTTTGGGAGATACTTTAAACACTGAGCACCTTTTAAATCTCTAAGTGTTGAAACAAACAGGTATTGAGCTAAAATAAACTCTGAAACATTAAATTATCAGATGTTATTTCTTTAGTGTTTGCTGCTTAAAGCAGCCTCTACTTTTTAACTGCAAAAAACTCTTGACATCTACAGCTGATTATAAAATCTCACTAAAGCTGATGCTGGGGAATGATTTAACAATTTTTAAAGTTCTCTTTTCTGACCCATCAAACATCAAACTAGAGTAAAAAAAGCTAAAAAGGTGATTTACTTTATTACATAGATTTCCTAGGTAGTGTAAACTTTGTTCTATATGACTTTGTTTTTTTTTTCATCAACTTATCAGAAAAACTGTAAATAAAACAGCCAATGAAAATTCGCTTAGAATCAGGTAACTTTACTTTTGCTCCATAAAAACATTTAACAGAAGCATTTTCAGCATTACCCGATAGTTGATTGATGCTGTAAAGTAAGGTTTCTTTTGCCTCAGGGTTTTCAGCTGCCTAAATGCCCCTTGGGAGATTTAACTGCAGCCTCGTGACTGAGCAACATTGCTCCTCCTTTTCGTGGTATTCTGTCACCTTACTGAGAACTCCCTGTGTCTTTATATTTAAATAAAACATGCTTTCATTATCCAAGATAGTTAAATTCCTCCTTGAAAGGGCCTATTCAACAGGTGCATATTTAGCATTCACCTGGTTACTGTATGTAATCACCATTGTCATAGTTAGTGAAAACAACTAAAATGTGATGAGCAAATGATCTTCAGTAGATAACTATATGACATTTTTCCCCCCTTTATACTTTAATACATGTATAAATCGTACTCTAATATTTTGAACAAATCTACACAACAGGACCACATAACTAGAGTAAACATAACATACAGGTTTTTTTATCATTATGATTTCTTAAATCTATCCTTAGCAACCTAGTCCTGTTTTTGAAGTAATGGCCTCACTTGTTAAATCAACAATAATACTGTATTTCTAAAAAAATGACTTTTTTTGAATTATTGCAAGACATGTGAAATCAATACAACAAGGATTAGGCCGCTATCTAATGGACTGAAGAACAGATGATCAAAGACAATGGGATCTATTAAAGTCATTATAACACCTGCAGTCTGACTGGATAGTAAGTGTGATGGATTTTGTGGGAATATCTGTTTGTAAACTTGCGTTCCAACCCTCTTGGGTAAATGATTTTTTTAGCGCACACCACCAACCTCGAAATGGAGAAAAGGTTTTGCAACGGTGGAGTTCAAGCTGGACTCACTGTGATGCTGGGGCATTATATTAAACAAGCCATTCATGGTCAAATAAAACCCTGCAGTTGGGCAAGATTTATATGTCTAAACAGACAAGTATGGGAAAATAATAATAATAACCGAACTTTAAATAATCTCACACTGGTGAAATGAACTCTTTGCATTTAACTCATCTGCTTAGGGAGCAGTAGGCTGTCATTGTGCGGCGCCTGAGGAGCAGTGTGGGGTTAACGGTCTTGCTCTGGGACCCAGAGTTGCAGTCTGTGGGGATCGAACTTAATACTTGCAGCCTTCTCTGAGCACAAGCGCACTGCTCTAACCCCCTAGGCCCAACAAGGCCAACAAGCCCCATATTGAATTTAAATGCACCTTAAATGTCACTTTTTGTTGCTGCTAGTCATCAGCTTCATGGAGACAAATTTTTCAAATGCGGTTAGGTTGAATGGATAGCTTTGTTCTTTCAGCAAAGGAAATCAGCATCACTAAAAATCTTTGTCAAAATGTGTTTAGTTATACAAAATATTTCCATAACCAAAAAGAAACTGGAATAAATCTAAAGGTAGGGGACAACTCCTTTACAGAACTATCTCTTACTAAGCAATCTGTATTGATTCAGCATCAAACACATATTTTACAAATGAAAAAGGAATAAATGGCACCTACAACAAATCATATTAAAGTCTATTTTTTATTTACATCTTTTTATAGGAAGACCATCAATTCCCAAAACTTGACATCTTTGCATATGTGGTCAAAACTAATTTTACCTGCTTGTTCCTTTCAATCATTACTGACTTTATCAAACAGAACTCCGCTGAGCGTTCTGTGAACTTATCAATGCAGAATCTCTGAAAAGGCTATGTTGCATAAGTGTGAGGTCAATATGTTTAAACAGGAAAACAGATATCAGGTGGAATGTTCCAAGTGTCAATCAATGAGCCATACCTAAAATATGATGAGTTCTCATACTACAATTTATCGCTGGTTAGATCATCAGTGAGATATGAAGCAAACAAAATGCTTTAAATGATCATGTGAGTTTGTGCGTATGTCCCTCACATTCTACAGCAGGTGCATAAATTGGTCAAAAGTATTTGTAAAGGCATGTGAAACAAAGAGAATAGGAATAAAATAAGGATAGAATATAACACTTTATTAAACGTACAACCTTTTTTACAAGTACATTTTAAAGCTTTGATCCTAATTTCAGGTTTTATTCTTAAAGGTAAACAGATTTCCGTATCCTGTGTCAACTTGTGTGAACTGAAGGATTTTGAGCAGACTTTGAACCTTTACACTTAAGTGTTTCCCTTTCTTACAGTCATTTAGTCTAAAATATATATTTTTTAGCAACAGTCAAATATTTCCTGGGTGAATTATTGAACCTTAAACCAAATTTAACCTAATCATGTTTAATTATTAGGTTTAATGATTATGACATGCATTTTCACAGTTAAGTAATATTCTATCCATGCATCATCTATTCCCAATAATCCATCCATCCATCCATCCATCCATCCATCCATCCATCCATCCATCCATCCATCCATCCATCCATCCATCCATCCATCCATCCATCCATCCATCCATCCATCCATCCATCCATCCATCCATCCATCCATCCATCCATCCATCCAACAAATCTAGTTTGTAAACAATCAGGTCTTCTGATTGTTTATCCTGGAACCTTCAGAGTTCTTCATAGCAGAAGATCTGAAGGTTGCAGCTTGTTATTAAATAAATAATCTTCTGACCTATCACAACTCACCGCCTACCACATTGTGTGGTGTTTTGGCACCACAACTGCAGTAACAAACCAACATTTAAAAACTAATGAATGTGACAGCAATTTGTTCTCCTTAGAGTAGATTTTTCCTCTGTTGGCAGTCAGGCAGTGAAGTTCAGGCTCTACAATTCTGCAGATAACAGAAAATGCTATAACTGTATATTTCTAATACATGTCTTGTTTTGCATTTTGCACATTGATATAACTTACATTTTCCATTGCAGTGTGTTTAGTTTTATATGTAGTGATGGAGCAACGACTGCCAGCTATTAATTGTAGATATATTGTTTTTGCTATTAAAATCACTTATTTATAAGCTTGGCCTCACTGTGCCTACAACTTTATCATCTCACCTAATCTCACCTCATCCAAAATAGTTAGGTTATTCTGGGCTGTTTTCTATATTTATGCTGCTTTATTTTTAGTCTGCTGGAAGACAAAGGGGCCTCTTTTCCTCATTCTGCTTCGTCCTATCTCCATTCTCCCATTCTGCAGTATTTGTTAGTTCCACCCATAACTATATGCTCTCTCTGCTTCTTCTCATAGTAGCTTCATGTGTTCTGTTCCTGTTTGGCTGTGACTCCATCCTGGAGAGAAATATCAGCTGTGCTGCTGCCATCAACGCCTTTGTTTACAAATGTCGGAGCCTGGCGTGTTTTTCAGTGTAGTCCTGTTTCTCTTAATGTGACTAGCTGTATGTGCTCTCTTTCATCCTCTGACAAAAGAATTTGCTTGAAGCTCATCTGCCTGGCTGTGTGTTTCCTGGACGGAGCCGCCTGTGCAGCTGGTTAACTTTCGTATCTCTCCTTCTTTTTCTATGTCTGCTTCTGTCTCCTTGAACCCCAGTCGGCCTCGGCAGATGCCCACTCACACTGAACCTGGTTCTGTTGGAGGTTTCTTCCTGTTAAAAAGGAGTTTTTCCTCTGTTGCTGCATGCATGCTTGGTGTGGGGGATGCTGAAAAGGTCAGTAGCAAAATGCAAGCAAAAATCATCACCGCAAGCTCATCCCGGAGGAGCATGTCTCGTAAGTCAAGGACTGGATGCAATCAACTGGTTTTCCTTGACAGAAACCAACCAATCTGACTGCATTGTGCCTGACATGTTGTGGTTTGCCGCTAATGAATAACTAAATTAAAATGAATCATAAACTTAATTTTTTAACTGAAAGTTGTAAATTGTTCTTAATCTAAAGGAGGCTTTTTTTTTTATTTCAGGACAGCATTAAGAGTACTTTTTATTTGTCTAACTCTTTGGAGTTAGACAAATAAAAGGTCTGATTGTTGTCTGATTGTTGTCTGTGTAACTGCACAGACGTTAAATGCATTTCCTGAAAGCTAAATCTAAACATATATTTTAGATAGTGAATTAGTGAAAAAATAATTTAGATTTAAACAGAGCAATTATTGTTTTAAGAGCACCCTGTTTCAAGTAAAAGTGACTAGAGAAACAATATAAAACCAAGGAAATGCAAACATTTTACTATGTTAAAAACCTTCATAATTACTCACAGACCCTGCCTGTAAAGTGATTTGGTTCAGCTTCCTGCAGCCTTTTCCAAAAGTGATATTACCAGTTGACAAACATCATGTGAGGAGTGGTTTACCTGACGCAGATAAGAATTCACACCTTTTTTTCTGAGTGGAGGAGAGGATCCCGCCCAAAAGGTACAAGTTGGTTTATAAAAAGATGACAGGCCACTGCAAGGCACAGACGGGGCACAAGCTGAGGACTGACAGGAACAACAGCAGGAGAAGGAAAGCACCATTACCAACATCATGGGGAGCTGTTGCGAGAGAATGGGTCCGCAGAAGAACACCTATGTGCGTGTCAGTCTGCCAGCAGTCTGCTTTGTGTGGCAGATTGCTATGATCATTCTGTTTGGGGTTTTCATCCGGTACGACGAGGAATCAAGTGCAACCTGGCCAGAATACAGAGACAAAAAGAATCTCACTGACATTGAAAATGACTTCTACTTCAGATATCCCAGTAAGTGTGATGGAGGTCAACAAAAGTTGCCAATGATTTTGAATACAGGGTTGATATATGTTTGTGGAATATGGGGACAATCCTATTGGAAATTTGTGTTTTTTTGTTTTTTTTCTTCTTTAACTGTGTTTTTCTTTTAAGGGGCATTTAGATGATTTCCAAATATGCAAAGAGGACACTTGCTCTTATGCTCTCATTTAATCTCCATCGCTGCTATAGGTGTCAGAGAGCATAAAGAAAAGAAAAATGTGAAATTATGACAGATTGCTATGACACCTTGAAGATAAAAAAAAGAAAAAATGTAGTATTTTTCTTTTCAGTTTTGCATTGACTCAACAAAAAGTGTTCTTCAATTATGAATGTTGTTATCTAGCACTCAGTCTTATGAATATTACTGAGGGGAGTCAACACATTTTTATGAAATGAAACAAATGTCTTTAATCCAAAATACTTGAACAGCATCCATGCCTTTAGGCATTTCATTACATAACAAATTTTATTTTTGTTTCCGTGCCTGCAGGCTTCCAGGACGTCCATGTCATGATCTTTGTTGGTTTTGGTTTCCTCATGACCTTTCTGAAACGATACTGCTACGGTGGCGCAGGCTTCACTTTTCTGATCGCCTCGTTTGGCCTGCAATGGGCTCTTCTCATGCAGGGCTGGTTCCACTCCCTCGATCTTACCACTGGGAAAATCTCCATAGGAGTTGAGAGGTAAGCACTTCACTTACGTAAGGTGTATTAAGTAATTCATGAAGTTAAACCAGCTCCTCTAATGAGGTACTTTACTCTTTGAAAGACATATTTCCAGTTCAACTTGAACTCTGATTGCTCCAAACAGCCTCATCAATGCAGACTTTTGCTGCGCTGGCTCTCTAATCGCCTTTGGTGCCCTGCTGGGTAAAGTGAGCCCCGTCCAGCTCATGGTGGTCACCTTATTCGGCGTCACCCTGTTTGCTGTGGAGGAATACATCATCCTTGACCTCCTTCATGTGAGTCTGATCAACTGACCTGAATATATATTTTTTACCATATAGTTCTTTTTTGCATTTACTGACATCTTGCTGACTCCACAGTGCAGAGATGCTGGTGGATCCATGGTCATTCATTGCTTCGGAGGGTATTATGGACTGGCAATCTCTTGGGTGCTCTACCGACCAAACTTACACCAAAGTAAACGCCTCCATGGGTCCAGCTACCACTCAGATCTATTTGCAATGATTGGTAAGTTTTTCTTTTTTTTACCCTAAGGTGTAAAACCTTTCTCTGGCAGGTTTTATGATTAATCTTTATTTTAAATAAAATGATTTTTGTAGGTACACTCTTCCTGTGGATGTTCTGGCCCAGTTTCAACTCGGCTATCACAGACCATGGTGACGGCCAGCACAGAGCAGCCATAAACACCTACATCGCTCTCGCCTCCTCCGTTCTCACTTCTTTTGCCATCTCCAGCATGGCTCAGAAAAAAGGAAAACTGGACATGGTACATTGGCAAATCCAGCATTTCTTAAGATCTCAAACTTCAGAAATATTTTTTCATTTTTCTTGTGAATAACACATTCCACCGGGCTTACTCAACAGGTGCATGTCCAGAATGCCACTCTGGCTGGTGCTGTAGCCATGGGAACGGCAGCAGAGTTCATGATCACCCCTTACGGCTCGCTCATTGTGGGCTTCTGCATGGGTATCATCTCCGTATTTGGCTACTTGTTTATCACAGTAAGCCTGCATTCTTTTTTCTTGGTATTTTTGCTTTCTGTAGATGGAGAGCTACAAAAGAGAAAGGAATTTGTTTTAAACAGGAAGTTAGCAACATTTTAGGAGGCAGGAAATTATCAGGCGATGAGAGATTATTTTTGGCACATTCATAGACTGCTTCCTATCAAAGATAGTACGCAGAACTACTAACAGAGGCCGCCACTTTTGCCGCAGCCTCTACAATAAGGTTTGGGTGAGGGTTATTATTTTGAAAACTTGCTGAGCAGTTAAAAAACAATATCATGTCTCATTGTGGAATTTTTTTTTTATGATCTTTAATTAATTTATACAGAAATTAATAATTAAAAGAAAACATCCACATTTTCCATTAGAATTTTGAACATTTGCTTTTCTAAATTCCCGCTCAAAGCAGGTGTAATGCCTATGCTAACAACAATGATGTTGTTTAATTTTTTTTGACAACTATATCCAACTTTTTTAATTAGTTAGTTAATTTAATTAGTTCAGCAGCTTTCATCAGTTTTTCAGCATTTCTTTTAATTTCTAAGAGAGGCTTATAAAACAAATTATATGAAATAGAATACAAATTGACTTTGATTCTTGTTTCAGCCGTTTTTTGAGAAGTATCTCAAACTCCAAGACACATGCGGAATTCACAATCTGCACGCTCTCCCAGGGATGCTTGGTGGTTTCATAGGCGCTATTGTTGCTGCAGCAGCTACTGAGGAAGTCTACAGTGAACAAGGGTAAGCCGAACAAAGGCCTTCATGATTTAAGCCTCATACAACTGTGAACCAGTATTTTTTGCTGTAAAAGTTTTCTCACATAAAAGGGGCTCTCTAAGCCCTCCTAAGCATCATTTTCATTTTGAGCGTAGCAATAATTTCACTCTTTACAAGCATTCAAAGAAATGGTAGTTAGTCTGGGAACAGACTGTGTCCCTTTTTGATCAGTTTATATGCTGAAATGTTCAAAATTTGATAAAGAGAAGTCATAAGGCCAAAAATTATGAAAATCCAGAAGAAATAGAAACAGTTAAACAACACTTTCATTTATTGTTAAATGGAAATGCTAAGTTCACTGTCATTAGTGAGCGTATGGTTTTGTTTTTCGTGTTTCTGTAAAGTCCACAATACCAAAAGTGGTATTCAAGTCTCAATGTCCGATGTAAAGATACCTCATCCAGATGCTTGTGTACAGCTGGGTGTGATTAATTTAGCATCCATTACACCATTGGAGGGTGCTCTATGGCCTTAATTTGTGCTTATTGAAATAAGTAAGTTGTATTTCTAGTTGAATCTAGAGCATCCAGGCTTTGTTTTTGTACCAGCTGAATCTCCCTACTGATTTATTTAAAAACTTCAGGCTGTTTCTGAATTTAGTAGTCAGATTAATAGCTTAACAGCTACTGTGCATGTGCATCAACACGGCAGGGTCATGCATGAAAACCTGACATATAGTCCTCTGTTTCCTCTCAGGCTGATAAATGTATTTGATAAGACTGGCGTGTATGCAGACAGAGACCAGGGAACGCAGGGAGGCTTCCAAGCTGCAGGAACATGTGTGTCAATTGCCTTTGGACTTGTTGGAGGAGCCCTTGTTGGTGAGTAAAAAAAAAAAAAGAAACTTGGCACGGGCTGCTTTATTCCTAATTTTCGGGGATATCTTGAATTTTCTGCACTGCATTTCCAACCAACCCCAAATAGACTATACTAAAAGGTCTTTGAGTAGAACACCAAATCTGACTCAGAATTTCTGCCAAACGTGTAAATATATAAGCCAATGTAAAGTATTTATATAACTCTTTTACAGGGTTAATCCTGAAGTTCCCTATCTGGGGTGATCCTGCTGATGACAACTGCTTCGATGATGAGGCCTACTGGGAGGTGGGATCATCTTTTCCATCACTAGATGGTGCTCTTTCTCTTTTAACTGATGTCTCTAAACAATATTAACATTTTGCAGCTTCCTGAAGAAGATGAGGAGACCATTCCTCCTGTTTTGGAGTACAACAACCACATGATTCAAAAAGGCCAGGACATGTAAGCTATTCACACATTTACATGATTTCTTTCTTCTGTTCTGAACTCCTAACTAACCGTAACTATCTGATTTTCTCTGGCAGAACCGAGTCCAGCTTCTCTGTGGAGCAGAGTTAGAGACAATCATTCAGCCACCAGAGCCCATATTTAGTTTTGAATGTAATGCAGCTGTTCAGCAACAACAATTAATGAAGGTTTTTCTCTTTGTTATCCCTTCTTATTTTGACACCTTCCAGACTTGATAATGAGCATGAAGACGAGAAACAATCGAAACAAAAACATGAAATAACCCTTTTTGGACCTAAAATTATTTTGATCACATTTAATTACCTTTAATTGAAAAAAAAAAGCAATCAATTTGTGTTGTGACCACAGCTCTTAATTCAGCCTGTATTATGTGAAGTAGGATGTATATTTTGTTCTATAAGCTGATTTTTGTCAAAAATGTTTTTATGTATTTCCTGTCGAGTGTAATTGCTGCTCTGTATCCTCTAATGGCAAATTGACTTGTTGATTTAATTTAATGAAAACTTATTTTAGCTGAAAAAAACCTATAGAAACATGTTATTCTATGTAATGCAGCTAAACAGAAGCTGATCATGCAATATCATATGTCAAGTTGAATAATTTATCCATGTGCAAGGTTGTCCACATTTACCTCTCTCTATTTGTGTGCAACATAACTGATAAAAACTTCCTGCAGTTTGAATGCTGAACGGTTGAACTTCAGTAGCCACCGAAAGTGTATCACCAGAAAAACTCACATTTCCTAACATCTGTAACTAAGGTGTTCTGCTTTAAAAGTTGGCTCACAAGAACAAAATTG